AGATTCCAGATTTTCAAATAGTTGTATCTCGGCCAAATATTGTCCTCCTATCCTAACAAACAATACATCAACGGAAAGCTTATTTGTTCAGCTTTCAGATGATGCATAAATCGTATGACTGGTTTTGTGCTCCAGGGTCACATTTAGTTGTTTTAAAGTAGTTTTAGACAATGCATCCAAAAGGTTTATTAAAAACAGCTAAATTTCATAATACAAATCTTCCTTCTTGGACAGATGTTGTCATCTTTTTTTCAGAAATGTGGAAACAACATAGTGCAGACTGAGCAGGGGGCATTTTTTTAATCTACAGGAAGCGTCAAAAGTGAAACTGAGCGGCGCGAGAAAACCGGAAGAGAAGACTCCAACTTTACGATCATCTTTGTAAGTACAACATTAACCTCATTTAAGTCCTTGGATATACGTTAGATGTCACAAGGTCTCACTAAGTAACTTATTTGAGTCTAATTACACGAAGTGTGTGTGTGTGTGTGTGTGTGTGTGTGTGTTCACAGTGGTGTTGGTTTCAAACGAAAGGTAGTTGATGTGCCTTTCATCTTTAAAATTACACGTTTGGAACCAACATACAAACCACATTCTCTATTCTGACAAATATTTGTCTGTAATTGAGGCATGAGTCGTTCAAATATGTGCAAAGGATTTCACCTCGCCCTTCAGGGCTCGTTTTTACAACTAAGTTATAAACTCAAAGGCAGTCATAGTCATCGGGGTCCAAGCACCAATAGCTCATATGGTTTGGAGATAAAGCTGCTATATATCTTTCCACATATATTATGAATATTGAATCTCTACTGATTTGAAGTATGCAAAATACATTCCAGTTCAAAAGGAAATTAGGAAGTAAGTAGCAATTCACATTAAATATACAAAAATATTACATATCTTAACCTGATAACCTAACCCTAACCTCTAGTGCTCGACTTTAGTATTATAGTCTTGATCTGTCATGCACAACTAGGGTTGCACCCGTATTTAAAGGTTTTACATAGACCTACACACAGCTGAATAAACACATAAGGATTTCGCAGTGTGGAGAATACTAATAGCAAATTAAATCAATTTCACAATAAGTAGTAGAGAAGTTCATCTGCACATGTGCATCGCGTGATAAGCGCTGACAGTATATTAATATCTGTAGGCCAGTAGGTTCGACTCGGGAGGTGTAAATTAAACAGCTTTGGTCTTGTAGTGAAAATAAGCTTATACTTATTTTAGAAAAAAAAAAGTTATATACAGTATTCACAGTACCAGTTTGAATATTACACAGGTGGGGTAAAATGCCCCCAGTCTGACAAAGCATTTTGATTCATACATCTACAGCAAAATCAGACTACAGGCAGTTATAGCTTATTAAAAATAAAAACAATATAATCAATAATTATGAATTACAAAATTATAGCCTATTTGAAAAATATTGTTAGCTGATGCTAACTGGCCAGCTAACTAGCTACCTGATGCTAACTTGAGGTAATTTTTAAATATAAAGTACAAATATTTTTATCTCATTATCATCATTTAACAATATGAATACATGGGACTCATATACGTGTTATTGTATCAGTATGTCATTGCTGAAAAATTGAGCTTGCGTTTTCTCTCACTGGAATATCAGTACACATCTAATTACATATACAGCCATTTATACACATAGCAAAATGTGTGCTCACCAAAATCCAGAGAAATAAACACAGATGTAGGGATTTTATCCTCTTTGACTACTTTTTCTTTTCTTTTAACTCCTGCTTGAAGTCATGCTGCTGCTCATCTCGTAAATCTCCCAGAAGAAATTGCAAAAATGTCTGCTTAGACTAAACGTGATTGGCTCACTTACTGACATACATTTAAATAGGATTTTAGAATTTTTCGCACACTATTTACTGAATTCTGATTAGTTTTTTTTTAAACAAACTGTTTAAGTATTTCATTATAAATTAATTAAATTATACAGGGTTACGATTGCATTATATATATATATATATATATATATATAGAGAGAGATTTTTTTTTTTTTTTTTATGAATGAACTA